GTTGCACCGGCGTCGGGGCAGGCTGCGGCGTTTAGGGGAGCCGTGGAGCAGCCAAAACAGTCTCGTTAAATAGGGAAGAAGGGTGATGTTTCAGCTGTGTTGTTTCGCTTACAGATCAGCAAAAAACCACAGTGATTGAAAATGGTGAAATCAGATTCAATGGAAAAGGGAAAAAGATTCGGAAGCCTCGAACCATTTACTCTAGTCTACAACTCCAGGCTTTAAACCATCGCTTTCAGCAGACTCAGTACCTGGCACTTCCAGAGAGAGCTGAGCTGGCAGCTTCATTAGGACTTACCCAGACACAGGTAATTACTGGGAATCCCAAATCACTGAAATCCTGCTCGAGCAATAATGGCCAAGCACAGTATGATGCTCCCCAAACGTTTTGGCCTCTGTGCGGGAGCGGTAGCGAAGGTATCGCACACGGTCCCCATCTATGCGTGACAGGATTTATCTAATGCACGACAGAGAGACCGGTCTGCCGCAGAGGGAGCGGGATTCTGCCGTCTGGCGAGCAAGCGCTCCCGTTCGATGCCACACATAACATTTTAAAACTGCCTGTCTTTTCGGACCATTCCAGCCACCGAGATGCAGCTGCCCAGCTGTGAAAAGGAGAACAAAACAAAGGCGAGGGATCGCTGGGCCTGACGTAGAGCTGAGAGCAAGGCAAAGCTGCCTCGTAGCAACCTCTAGGCAGAGGGGAAGCAGGAACACGTTAGGAAATACCTGTAAAATCAATAGTTAATTCACCTGGGATGACTAACGCAAATGCAGCGGTTACCCTCGGGCAAAATGTACGAAAGGTGATAATAGATCTGAAGATCAAAGACAGCCGTGTACAAAATTATAGCAGGTTAAGCCATAGTTAAGTGTGGTTGGAGTAGCAGTGCCATTCGGCTAATTTAAGCTTGAAAGACACATGAGGCATTACATGCTTCCCAGGCTGGGGTTTGCGGGGAAGTGCATGGATAGATGGGATCAATTCGGGTAAAATGTAATCATGGGAATTTATGAGCTTAACAAATAACTTCAGGATTTTATCATTGTCGTTGATAACAGTCGCTTCCAGCCAGCGATTTTTAAATACTCAGCAACCATTAATCATGGGAATAGACCTGATGGTTTTACAAATGGGATTTTAGCATCCTTAGCATGCACAATCTGTCTCACTGCTGTCTTGCTTGCTCTCTCGCACGCAGAGATTTGGGTTTAGCGGCCCGATCCTGAGCATGCAGCTAGACAAGCACCCATGCCTGTGCCCTAACGTTACATCTGTAAAGTTTGCAAGGTCAAATACACGTGTGGGAGTTGTTTTCTTTGTCTGATTTTAAGAAGTATGCGTCTATATATGCATTACATACATATATGTAATTTCTGTAACAATTCTGGTCTGCCAGAATGGGCCCTATTCTTGAACACCTCATGGAGTGCAGGTTCCCTCCTCGGGAACTCTACTGGATTAGGAGCAGGATGAGACCCAAAGCATTCTCGATAACCAGTTAATCGCCGAGAAAAGAACATTTTCCTTTCTTTAAGATACAACTTCTAAAATAAAGCCATAATCCTGATTCCATCACGCCTCCTCCCCCATCACATCACCAACGACCGCTTGATCGTGCATGTTTTCAGATGCACGCTTTCTTTGTAAGGTGCCCTTTGTCTATTGGCTCCTGTCTCCTGGCACAAAATCATATGATTGCCCGTGTTTGACAACAGTTCGCCCAAATGATCAAATGACCTCCAAAATTCTGAATGAGGAGTTAAAGCAGGACACTGCTGAGCACGTACTCTGCTCCAGCTCGATCACTCTGGCCTGCCCAGGGAAAATAACGTTCCAGGCTAAAACCTGCATCCCTCCTGCTTTCCAGCTCTGCTCTGCCTCTCCTGTTCTCTGAAGCTGAACCCAGAGTCCGAGAGCAGCAGCAGCAGCAGCTACCCCTCCTTAGCCTCACCCTATCCCTAACCTCACACCCGGCTGGCGTGGGCTCTCCAGACTTTCTCTAGAGAAAACCCCCGGCCCCGAGGGGCTCACCAGCCGTGCCCTGGGTGCTGACGGCAGCCTAATACCCGCTGCGTTTTGCTCTACAGGTGAAGATCTGGTTTCAGAACAAGCGCTCCAAGTTCAAGAAGCTGCTGAAGCAGGGCAGCAATCCCCACGAGAGCGACCCCCTGCCCGGCTCCGCCGCCCTCTCCCCTCGCTCTCCGGCTCTGCCTCCGGTCTGGGACGTTTCAGCTTCTGCCAAGGGAGTCAATATGCCTCCCAACAGCTACATGCCTGGCTATTCTCACTGGTATTCTTCTCCACATCAAGACACAATGCAGAGACCACAAATGATGTGAATTGTCCAAGAGAAATAATCTCCCAAGAACGCCTCGTCTCGACATGGCAAGAAGTTCCCCTGCTTTGCCAAGCCGTGCCAGCTAACAGGCTCTGTGTGAACTTGTAGATGCGGCAAAGAGACAGAGTGGCTTAATTTTCTTTTATTTTCTTTTCTTTTTTTTTTTTTTTTTTTAAGTAGCCTCAGCGATTGATCTCCAACAGAAAGACACAATTTTCATTCTGGCGCACAGAAGACACTTCTCTTTAGGATATTTTCCTTTGGACTCCAAGGCACCAGCCTCTTTCTCTGTGGAGTATACGTCAAAACAAACTTTTTACAGACTTTGCCCACAAGAAGAACCTGAATCTACCATGGCAGCCGTTTTTACTTGTTTAATGAGCTAAAGACATTACATGATGAAAGAGGGACTAGTCAAAGCTCCTTCATTTTTATTCATCAAATCCGAACTGGGGAAAAAAAAAAATCAGAGAGAAGAACGGATTAAAAGAAAATGAAGAGGGGAAGAAAAGAGAACTGGTTGCAAAATGAAAACATACTGTAAGATTTGAACATTACCAAGAAGCAAAACCTGCATGCTTTCTCAAAATGCAATGGGCTGCGGCCCCGAAGAAACCACGGTCTCTTCCGCCAAAAGCCCCCTCACCCGCGCACACACACCCGCACACAGCCGGACAGACTCCCGGAGACGAGCAGGACGGACAGAGCGAGGGATC